GTGTGTGTGTGTGTGTGTGTGTGTGTGTGTGTGTGTGTGTGTGTGTGTGTGTTGTAGTCCAGACCTGGGGCCCCAAGGGCAGCCTGTCCTCAGTTTCCCAGAGGAGGCTCTGGCGGGGAGGAAGGGAAGTCAGGATGCGGTGGGGGTGCGCTCGCTAATGGACCTGGCCTTGGCTGGAGGTGCGTCCTGGGCTGGATCGAAATCATCCCATCTGCTCTGTGGCCGGAGGGAACCAGACCATTAGTGGGACGAAATGGAGATTTCTGGAGCCTAGTTGGTCCCCGCAAGAGCCTAGTGACCGACCGCAGGCTTTCCCTGCCATGGAGTGGAGAAGTGGGAGAGACTCCTTGGGTTTGGGGTTTTGATATTTTTTTTTTTAAATGCGAAGTTAAAGGGAAAGGATGAATAGTGTGGGATGGCAGGGGAGAGTAATATGGGGGTACAGGTTGGAAAATAAATCTGGGCGTTCTTGGAGGACCATGGCCCTTTACGAGAGGGTGGAGCATCAGTTGAGCTCCTCCTCATTGGGCTCCGCCCTTAGGGCACCCCGCTGGGGACTCGGCGGGGCAGGGGCGTGGCAAAGTGCAAAGGGGCGTGGCGGCCTGGGCGAGTGGGCGTGGCCGCGGGGCGGGGCGGGCCTGGGCACACCGCCCTGGGGCTGAGTCTCCGGTGGAGGGCGGCGGGGACCCGGGAAGGAGGCGGTGGCGTCCTTGGCGGCAGGACCAGCATGGATTGGGGCACCGAGCTGTGGGTGAGTCCTTTTCCCCCAGCTCCCCGGGTTCCCACTTGCTGGGGTCCTGGCCTCTCTGCTCTTTGTCCCCTCTGTACCTTTGCGGGGACTCTGCGGTTTCCCTCGCCTCTGATCCCGCGGGTCCCCGCCCTCTGCCCTTAGCACTCCCTCAAAAGTTCCTTTGGGACTTTCTAGACATCCAGAGGGCCCTAGGGATACTTTGCCTAGGACCGGCATAGGGAAACTGAGGCACAGAGTTGAGAGTGAGGCCATCACAAGAAGTCCCTGGACCAGGCCAGGAAGGGGGGGACAGCTGGGCGAGGTCACCTATTTTGAGCGCCCTGGCCTGCTTGGAGGCTAATCTTACGGCCCCTGGGTCCCTGCCCGTCGCCCGCCTGTCCGGCTGGGAGGGGGAGGGGACCCTTTGGTCACCTTCATTCCCACGTGGGGCCTCGCCCGGTGGCTTCCCCGCTTGCGATTGCCCTAAAGGGCTTGGGACGCTGAGGGGGAGGGGAAGGGGGCTGCAAGACTCAGCCCCGGGCGCTGGGCGGAGCCACCCCTTACCCGCCACTTAACCTCACCCAGGAAGCCCTAGAAGTTTCCCTGAATCCTTGTCGGACTATTGACCCCTCCTCTTTCTGGAGGCGGTGTAGTCTTCGGGTGTAGTGGGGATGAGCCACTGTAGTGGAGGCATCACAGAGGCAGGGGAAACTGAGTCACTCTAGGGGGGATCATGGCGAATGAGGAAATCTGGCCTTTGAAGTTCCCTCTTTCCACGCACTTGGAGCTGCACAAACCCTTTCCCTCTGTGCCTGTCTTATGTGCAAGCCTGCTTCATTTTCCGGAATTTGGGGGGCGGATTAGAGGATTCGGGGCGAGCTGGAGTGGCTTAGCCTCCTCCCACACCCTTGCTGGCCACCCCGACTCCGAGAGACCCAGCCGTCCGGTTTGGGGCCCTGGCCCTGTTGTCCAGGCCCTTCCCGGGAGGAGGAGATGGGGGTTCCCGCCAGCTTCCTGCCTCCCTCTGCGCCACGCCGGGGCGGCGCCTGGGGAAGCCAGCCAGTCCTTGCTGGAACCGCTGAGCCACGAGGTTGTGCCGTGTCCCGCCTCCGCCCCACCTCCACCCCCCTGTGCATCGGGTCGCTGGGGCCTCGGTGCCCCTACCCAGGTGACCCTGACCCTCCCCAATCACGCCCCTGCAATCAGGATCAGTTTGAGGTGCTGGAACGCCACACGCAGTGGGGACTGGATCTGTTGGACAAATACGTGAAGTTCGTGAAAGAACGCGCCGAGGTGGAGCAGGCTTATGCCAAGCAACTCCGGTGAGCGCGAGGGTGGGTGCTCGCCGCGCTGGGACTCCGCCGGGAGCCGGCAGGAGTGCCAGGTTCTCAGCCTCCCTGCCTTTGTCCCCACCCTTAGGAGCCTGGTGAAAAAGTACCTTCCCAAGAGACCTACCAAAGATGACCCCGAAGTCAAGTAAGAATGGGCTAAGACTCCGTGGGGGGTGGGGAGCGGGGAGCGGGGAGCAGGGCATGCATGGGTTTCTCTCCTTCCCAGGGGCCACTCCACTTTCCCACCTCCAGTCCCACCTCCCACTAAAGATCTGGGTGACCTGGGGTGGAATTTACTCCCTTCCAGCACAATGCCTTTTGGTTTTGTAAATTCTCAGCGGAGTTCTTTCGGGACAAGTGACTTTTTACTATTTATCTAGTTTTGAGATTGAGAGGCACCCGCATATGCCAGTCAGAAGACAGTTTTTCAGGAGTGGGTTCTCTCCTCACCATGTGGGTCCCGGGGATCAAACTCAGGTCCTCCTGCTTAGCCGCAAGCGCCTTACCTGTTAAGCCATCTCGCTGGCCCTAGATTTTGACTTTGAGATATGGTTTTGCTTATTCTGCTACTCTCTTATCCAGGACTGATCTCTAATGAGGCAGTCCTTGTGTCTGGATTGACCAGCATGTGTCATTCAGCCAGACTTGGACCAGTAACTTTTATTGCCTCTGTTCTAATCTGCAAAATGGGTCTGATGGCAGTGATTCCCACTCTGTCTGGTGTGTGTGTGAGGATGAACTGAGTTTATGTGTCTAAAAGCAGTGGCCAAAACTGGGCATGTTGGTGCACACCTGTGATCCTAGATCCCTTGGGTTCTAGGTTAGCCTGGCCTACATGAGACCCTGTCTCAAATTTCTAAACAAACAAACCAGTAGCCAGTCTGTAGTCATTTCCAGGAACTTTTAACTGCATTCTGAACCCTTCTCTTTAAAATCTAAAAGGTGAGCTGGGTATGGAGGCAAATGCTGTTATCCCAGCACTCTGGAAGCCTAGACTGCGAGATTGTGAGTTCCAGGCCAGCCTGGGCTACATAGTGAGACTATATTTTCAGTAAATACATAAGTAAAAGTCTTAATCCAGAAAGCTCTGAATCCAAAAATTAAGCTAGTTGTTTGTGGTAGCTGGTTACATTGGCTCGGTGTGAATGATATTCCATTTAGTGTGATCAGGGTTTTTGAGGTTTGGAAAATGTGTGTGTGTGGTCTCATGTACCCCAAGCTGGCCTCAAGCTCACTAGCTCGGGACTGATCTCCCTGCCTCAACCTCCAGAATGCTTGGGTGGCAGATGTGTGCCATCGTACCTGGTTTATGCTGCTGCGGTGGAGCTAGGGTCTCATGCATGCTAGGGGGGCTCTGTACCTACTCAGTGCTTCCAGCCCCAGCTTCTGAGGATTGAAAATGATCTAGCAAAACAAAATTGTTCCTTTCTGGAACATAGGCAGACTTTCTTTTGCCATTGTGTTCACATTGTATGAGATGTCTTGAGTCATCTAGGGAGAGTCTGTGAAACCCTGCTGTTGCATAGAAGACCTTGAGCATCCTTTGGTACCCTCTAGGAGACCTAGAAATCGTTGCCGTGGCTACTGAAGGACTACTGTATTCCTACCTGATGAGGGGTGTTCAGCATGCTCAGCTCTGCGATTCTGCAGTCAGGAGACTGAGGCAGGAAAAACAAGAGTTCTGGGCTAGCCTGGGCTATGTAGCCAGACCCTGCCTCAAAACCTAAACAAACACAAACAAACAAAAATTTGATTCTAGGATTCTGCTACCAGCCCTGGGGGAAGTGATGAAAAGATGTTATCAGGGCTGAGCACAGTGGTGCACAACTTTAATCCCAGCGCTCAGGAGGCAGAAGCTGGCAGATCTCTGTGAGATATAGGCCAGCCAGGGCTACACAGTGAGATCCTATCTCAAACAACGACAAAGATGTAAGCATTGTGAATCCAAAAATTTGATTGCAAAATGCATCTGAATTAAGGACAGATTAATGCATCTGAATTAAGAACATCTAGAGGTTAGGGACAGACGTAATGCTTCTTGGGAATGAGTGTTGTAGCTCAAGAGGTCCGGTTTTTTCTTTTCCTTTCTTCTCTCCTTGGTCTCTTTCCCCTCCCTCCCCCCGCCATTCCTCTCTTCCTAGGGTCTCACATAGCCGAGGCTGGCCTCTAACTCCCCATCCTCCTGCCCTGCCCTGGGATGACAGGCCTGTGTCACGGTGCCAGGCAGGCTCACGCTTGCCCGTCTCCGGTCCTGAGCCCTGCTTGTCCCCTTCTACCAGGTTCAGCCAGCAACAGTCATTCGTCCAGCTTCTCCAGGAGGTCAATGATTTCGCAGGCCAGCGAGAGCTGGTGGCCGAGAGTCTGGGCATCCGAGTGTGCCTGGAGCTGGCCAAGTACTCGCAGGAGATGAAGCAGGAGAGGAAGATGGTGAGTCCCTCCCCTCCCCCGGGGCTTGCTGAGGGTCCTGTGCGAACCTCGCTGAGGGTCTCCATTTGTCTCTGCAGCATTTCCAGGAAGGCCGGCGGGCCCAGCAGCAGCTGGAGAATGGCTTCAAACAGCTGGAGACTGTGAGTGTGCATGGGGGCAGCTGGTGGCTCAGGCCCAGAAGAGCTGGTGGGGGTGGATGCCCATGTGTGACCAGGCCCCCCTTTCCCTCAGGGGTACCCAG